ACTTTATTCATTGCAGGTCTAATTAATGAGAAAGAGATGCAAGATATAGAGAAATCATTGGGTATTTCCAGAGCAGACAGATTGTGTGTGGAGTAATCCTTCTTAAAACTTTCACACCTCCTTTTCTTTCAAACCTTTAATGACCTGCACCTTCCTCACCCATCTCACTTCCTTCCCTTGAGCTGCTAATGAGCTTTCCTGTTTTCAAAGTATTAGATTAGCAGTTCATGTCTAGCAAACACCCTCAGACAGAGATGAAATTAATACAGGAAGAAAATGTGTGACAGTCATGCTAAGAATTCCTGTCATTCAGACTGTGAATCCCCCATGCTCAYAGAACTAAGAAATTATGCTAGTTGCAYAGTTTTATTTTATTTTRCTTTATTTTCTGTGCAACCCTTGAATCATTCTATCATTGCCAAACATCTTCACTGCAGAAACCTATGATAAGGTGCTAATAAAAAGTCAAGTCTTTTTAGAAGACAATTAGACCTGCCAAGTGAAATTCTGGCACAAACTTGGTGCTCTTAAATATATTTTAGATGTGAAATCAGAAGTGCTTTCTCCAGATCACAATATTAATTTATGTAACAAGAGTAATTTAATTAGAAATGTTTTCCACCCATCTACACAAAGTGATAATTATAATTCATCAGGAAGCTAGCCTAATATCAGCTCTCCTTCCAGGCCTTTTAAAATTGTAATATTAAACTATAGCAATTAAGCTCTGTGAATGACTGTGAAAAGGGCCTTTGGATGTAATTACACTGAAGCCAATTAGGAAAAATATGCATCTCRTATTTCTGACAATTAATTTTACAGTTGGCTTTCTCAGCAGGTGACATAGTAGTATACACAAGTCAAGTTTATACTGGCCACCTCCCCACGATAAATGCAATGCCGGTCCAGTTTCTTCCCTCTGCAGCGCACATGCCACTGTCCAGGGTCCCCAAACTGGTGTCRCTGGCCACAGTGGCATGGGGTGGGCACACAGATCTCCCACAGGCACATGCCATGCAGCAGCCTCTGAACATGGCATCTGAGGGACCCTCTGCTGCCCAGTGGTGCATGCCAGCACTATTAAAAATTCTACAATGAAATACATACTAAGACCACTAAAGACATGGTACCCAGTGAAATTCAAAAATAACTTGGAAACATAATTTGCTAGGTCTCTATAGACAGTAGTAATACCACAGGAATTGGGAAGGGATCTGTGATTTTCCTCTCTAGTAAATGTGAGCAAAGCAAACAGATATAGGCATATTTTWCTTGCCAAAAGAGAACATTATAAACACTGAGCAGGTAATAAAGCATAYAATTTAGTAAAGGATGAGAACAGAAAACAAGTAGATACAGGCATATGAAAGAAGACCCTCTGGAAGTGTTCTCATCTTTGGAGCCCCACCTAAATTCTGTCCAAGGCATATGACAGCCTTGATATGTTACCAACAGCTCTGAAATCTGTAGTGCGCCTCTGACCAGCCATAATGTCATCATCCACAAATGATAATTTGGGATTTATAACTGAAACTCTGGCCATATTGCCAATGGGACTTTTGCCATTTATTGAAACGTGGCCAGGCTGTGGCCATAACAAACAAAGCTGCCGTGCTGTCTGTGCTGAGTGCCGGCACACTCAGTCTTGTCCGAAGCTATGCCTCACGTGCGCTGCTGAATAACCAAATGTAGAAGTGAAATTAGAGAGGAGCGTTGGATGTTCTGGAGAAGCAAGCTGCACTTTAAAAAAGCATCTCTGGATTGGGGGTAGGTGGCTGGGAATCTGGACATCTGGCCTCTCAGCTCCTGCCTTTGCTGCAGAACCACAGCAGAGCCTTGTGCAAACCAATTAATCTCCCCATCASCCCCAAAGGGAAAAATCCCATAAGTGTGTGTGTGAAGCCAGCTCAACCAACATTTTTTGCAYGTCTTTTGATTCTCTGGTGCAAGGCTTTTCTAACAATTGTGCRTAGATTTGACAAATGAGCACTGACTTTTGTCAGTATTTCTGTGATTAAAGCCTACACATCATTCAGTGACCAGATTTTTGCTGCATGAGATAAGAGACCTGAGGACAGACTACCAACATGGGAATTTCAGCCACCAGATCCTTAGGAGATGCAAAACAGTAACCAGCTAATTGTAAAAACAGGTTTCTGCAGAAACCAAATCATAGCTGCAGAACACTTTAATTTCTCGTCCAACTGACCAGAAAATTGTTTGGAAATATGTAATTGGTTTCTTCATGCCCCYGCCTGTACACAGTGCTGATGCTGCATGGTGCTTTCAGGAATATCAAAGCTGCCATAAATAGAGGAAATGACCCCAGCAAGTCAGGCAGAGAACAAAGCTCAGCTCTCCTGAGAGCCAAAGGATTGCTCAAATGCTGCATTTTCTCTCTTTCTAAAGCCAGTGTTTGGCTCTTTCCCAAGTTCTTTTAAATAATCCAGTTCAATTACTGAACATGTCAGTTTAACCAGTATTCAAATCAACCTCCTCTATGTTTTGAATTGGATTTTCAAACTCCAAATAGGATTCTGTGTCTCAGGTGCCAACATTTTTTCCACTGGCACTCAAAAGTTTTGGATATATAGATCAGACAGATAACTTAGTGGGTATATAAAATTATTGCTTTTATTATGTACCAATAATCTTATCAAGTAGCTTCTTTGTCTATAAACACCTAAATTGCAAGCTTCTCCTCAAGTGACACTCCCTGTTAACAGAAATGGCCAGGTATCACTGTACAGTCCTGCACAGGAGAGGAAGGAGAGCAGGAGACACAGGCCAGGACTGAAATATTTCACAGCATTACGTTAAGAAGTTTGCACACTGTGGTTCTATTTCTTGACAGAGCTGGTTATTGGCAGCAATACCATGTGTTTGCAAAGGTGATAAAAATCCCTTAGAGAATATGTTTATGCTAACTTGTTTCTTTGGTTTTATTTTTAAATTATTTTCTTCCTTGCTTACTCTCTTTCCACACTCCTCCCTTGCCATACTGTACAATAATATGAAATCCCATGGGAGAGGCACAATGTTACCAAGTTTTCATTAAAACCCAGGGTTGATATAAAATTCCTAACCATGACATCAGAATTACAAGTGGAGGTTTACACATTCTTTGAAGCTGAAAACTTTGGTTCCCTCTCACTGTCTGCTTTTGGCCCACCAATATTTTTTTGTAATAAAAGGAAAGAAACCATTATATTATATTAAATTATACAACAAGAAGAGATTAATATTGTAACTCAAATGAATACAATKCTGCTGAACATCTTCTGCGTTTTTTAAATCAAGTAAAATTTACAGCACTAAGAATTTCAAGTTATTCAGAGTGGATTTCATGGTCTTTATGCCCTACTTTAAGTCTCTGAGAATGATTAATAGAGACAGATCTTATCTGACTCTCTTAAATATAGATTCTTGGCATTGTTAAAACCAGGATTAAATAACATCATTATCCCTTTCTCTTCTCTTTCTTCCTGATTCTGGAAAAATTTGAAAGAAAGTGATGTCTTGATTGATATGAACTGAAAAAAACTATCCTGAGAATAAACTATAGGACTGTTATCATCAAAGACACAAAAAAACTACAACAGACACAATAACCTAATTGTCTCTCACAATTTGAAGGATTCCTCTATCAGATGCAGTGATGATCTTGACACAATTTAAAAACAAAATTATATGCATGCTGCTGTTTTAGTTCTATGCATTCTAATAAATTTTAATACATAATATAAAAAGTAATTTCTTCTTTTCACATTGTCACTCTGCAATTTTTCTAACGTGCCCTTCTCTAAGCTTTTCCAGGAGGTTTTTTTATTTGTGGCAAAGTCTAATTCTATTCCAAAGCATACACAGGATTTCGGGGTACTTTTTCAAGGGAAAAAGAAGACAACAGGGAAGAAGATTAGGAATCATTTGCCTGCTGTCCAGATTAGAAAAAAATKATTTAGTGATGATGCGTTAGCTGTGTAAGATATTGTTTCATTTACCCAGAATATGGACTATTAGGAAATAGCTTTGGATTGGTTTTCAGAAGTACCAGGAACAGGAAGTTTCCCAAAATACTAAATTTTTGCCAAGCAACCCAGTTCCTATAATTAGACCCTTAGATACATGCTATAAATTAAGTTAAAAGATACAAAGAATGAAGCTGGGGAAGAAACGCTTGGTTTGGATTTATTTACATTCATTGTTTCCTGTTGAAGTACTGACCGTTATAACTAAAAATACATTTTACCTGTCCATACTGAATCTCGAGGTTAGTACACTGGTAAAGTGGTAAAATTGGGTAGTACAATTTATATTCAGCGGCAGCTGAGAATTAGCGTGGCACAAACATGAAAAATACCAAATATATAGTCAAAATACCAAATATAGTCAAAAACTATTTACGTAACTTGAAGGAGAATTTGGAGCAAAAATATGTACTTTAAAGGAACACCATTCGTCAAGACACAGATTACTAAAATTCATGGGAATGAAGAGGGTCTCCCAGTTTTATCTGATAAAGTTCCCTACGCGATCTGTCCCATGGATATTAAAAAAAAACCCCAAAAAACAAAAAAAAAAAAAAAAAAAAACCAAAACAAAAACCCCAACAAAACAAAACAAAAGCCCTTATGAGCCTGCTACAAAAGGAGGCTCTTTAAAAAGCACCATGCAGCATCAGCCCTGTGTACAGGCGGGGGCATGAAGAAACCAATCACAGATTTCCAAACAATTTTCTGGTCGGYTGGACAAGAAAAATCTCAAGACCTGATTTAAAAGAGGCTTAGACAATCTTTCCCAATTTTCCCTCTGCGATTTGGGCTTTGCAGCCGCAGAACGCGCCCCAAGGGGAGGAGGCCCTTCCTGGGAGCACAGCGGCTCCGCCCGCGCCCGAGGTGCCGCTGAATCCCGCCGGATCCCGCCGGGCGGCGCGGCCGAGGAGGGGGAGCAGGACGGGGAGCAGGAGGAAAGGCGGCTGCGTGTGCCAGCCCCGCTCCCTTTCCTTCCGGGTTGCAGCCRCCGCCTCCTCCGTTCCCGTGTCCTGGGCCATGGGGGCGGCTGCCGGCGGGGCCGCCCATGACGGGGCTGTGGCCGCAGCGCCGCTGGAGYCCGGGCGCGGGCTGTCCCTGCCCCGGGGCGCTGGGAGCTCCGCCGCATCCCAGGACAAGCTCTTCTTAATCAAAGGTGCAGCCGAGCCTTCCTGTCCTCCCCTTCTCTCCCCTCCTGCCCTGCACGGCTCAGGGACGAGCAGCAGCGTGTGCGGCAGCCCTGAGACCAGCCCCAGCTCCTGCTCCACTCTCCCGGGCCCGGGGAGAAGGCAAGATGTTTGGGAATGGCCTCGCCGAGGCTTCGGGCACAGCGAGGAAGCCCCTGCGGCGCCGGCCGCCTTTTCCCTCGCCCTTGCCGGTCACCCTTGAGGCGGCGTGCCCCGGGGCAGCGGGCCCGGGCGAGGGCAGCAGGGCGGGATGCGGGACACGGAGCTGAGCGGAGCCGCCTCCTTCCTTCCCTGGAGGGAGCGCAGCCCTGTGGGGTCCGCGGCCAGCCATGCCGGGCCCGAGGGGCTGCAGATCTCGGGGAAGAGGCGGCTCCTGCGGGCTCCCGGCAGCCCTGCGGATTCCCTAAGGGAACGAGCCGCTGTTCCGGGCTGGATCCGAGCCGGGAGAACCGCGGTCAGGGCAAAGCCAGAGTCTCCACAGCTGCAGGGCAGCGGGCTCACGTCCGGCGGGCTGGCGGCGCTGTGCGGCTTTATATTAAAAGCCTATTGTAATTTTTGTGTGTATCTCCACCTTGCTCCGGTGTCTGCTCGGTCTCCCCGCGCCCCCCGGCGGAGCGGAGGCCGGGGCTCAGGCGGCACCGTCCCAGCGCCGCCGGCCGGGACATCCCGGGACATGCCACTCAGGAGGAGGGACGCATCCCCACCAGTTATTGTGCCTGAAATCGGGGAAATGTTGGGTAGCAGACCTGGAAGTGTAAAACTTAGTGAGCGTGCATAATTCGGTCAGGATGCAAGGTCTTCGTGCTGCCAGGCAGTGGAGGTACCATACCGATTTCATTGGCACGCGTACAGGAAACTTCTACATCACAGTAATCAGATAAATAGCTTTTWAAAAGTAAGATCTAATTTAGGTGTATTTTTGCTTCTCACTTCCTACTCACACCAATTTATAAATACCTAACTGGTATTAGGAAAGGGAAAATAGGAWGGGCAATACTTCCAAGGGAAGATTATTTAAACCATGGAAATTTAAAAATTTTGATATGAATCAGATTGGTTTCTACAGTGCAGTAAGTCTTTGTAACAAGCCTTTCTCTTAAAAGTGAACAGGCATGACTGCATGTGCCTTTGGTGTAAGAGCTAGGATGGATCAAGGTACCCCAAGTGACTTTGGAGACACTAAAAGGACTAAAAGCAAGGGATGCTTTTTGTCTTGGGAAAGATTTTGCTAGTACCCTTCCTTCCTTCCTTCCTTCCTTCCTTCCTTCCTTCCTTC